ACTCTGGCGCTGATGTTAGCATTCTGACGCTGAAAACGTACAAGAAGCTGAAACCGCTGCCGCTTCAACATGCTTCAAATACTCTGACAAATGTTGATAGCGTGCTAAAAGTAGAAGGAAAGATGCACGAAACACTCATGTTCAAGAACAAAACCGAGCCTGAAGTGTTCTACGTTGTTGACTCCGCTGATGATCTCCTCTCCAGGTCTGCTTGCTCGCGCCTGGGCGTACTGAGATTCACAGGTGAAGTCAACGAAGACGTCTTCGGGGAGACAGGCCTCCTGAAGACAGCACCGGTCAGCATTCAGCTCCGTGAAGATGCTGTTCCAGTCGCCCTTGCCACTGCAAGAAACATCCCGCTGCCGCTGATGAAGCCAGTGGAAGAGGAGCTGAATAAGATGGAGCATCACGGCATCATCACGAAGGAGACTGAGCCAACGGACTGGGTCTCTGCGCTGGTCCCCGTCCCGAAGCCGAAGAGCAGCGGTGTCCGCATCACGGTTGACTACAAGAGGCTCAACCAGTCTGTGAAGCGACAGGTGTTCCCGATCCCTACTCTGGAGCATCTGACCTCCATGCTGAGTGGTGCGACGCTCTTCACCAAGCTGGACGCCTCTTCCGGTTTCTACCAGATCCCGCTGGACGAGGCGAGCTCCAAGATGACCACGTTCATCACTCCGTTCGGCAGGAAGAGGTTCCTGCGACTGCCGATGGGGATCTCGCTCGCACCGGAGTGCTTCCAGCGGAAGATGGAGGAGATACTGGACGGACTGCCCAGAGTCATCGTCTACATGGACGACACCGTGGTGTTCGGAGATGCTGCCAGTCACGATGCACGTCTCGAAGCTGTCATCAGGAGGATCCACGAGTCCGGCCTCAAGCTGAACAGGAAAAACGTGTGAGTTCCGGAAGAACGAGGTCAAGTTTTTGGGGATGAAGATCAGCAAGAACGGCATTAGCATGGACGAAGAGAAGCTCGAAGCGATCCAGCAGCTCCAACCGCCAAAGAATGACAATGAACTAAGGTCTCTGCTCGGAGTAATCAACTTCCTGGTTCGGTTCATTCCACACATCCAGGAGTGCTTGAGACCACTGAACGAACTTCTGAGGAAGAACGTAGCATGGATCTGGACACCACAGCAGCAGCAGGCGCTGGATGACGTGAAAGCAGCCGCCACTTCACTCCAGTTCTGGCGTTCTACGATCCAGCACGAGAGACGGTGGTCAGCGCCGACGCCAGCAGTTTCGGCATCGGAGGATGTGTTCTCCAGAAGCACGGCTCCGTCTTCAAACCCGTCGCGTTCTGCAGCAGAAGCCTAACTGACACCGAGACCAGATGGGCCCAGATCGAGAAGGAACTACTCTCTGCGACGTGGACGTGCGAGAAAATGCACATGTTCCTCTCCGGACTGCCGTCTTTCGAGCTGCATCTGGACCACAAGCCTCTGATCCCGCTGATTAACACGAAAAATCTCGTGGATGCGCCGATCAGATGCCAGCGCATGCTCATGCGCTTGATGCGATACAACGCCACAGCGGTCTTCGTTCCAGGGAAGCAGCACCTGGTGTCCGACTTCCTTTCACGTCACCCGCTCCAGAAGCAGGATGAAATCGGCTCTGTGCCTCAAGAAGACATATATGGATTCTGCGAGAGAATCTTCAGCGATCTTCCCGCCACACCGCAGCGTCTGGTGGAGATCAGCAAGGCGCAGCAAGCAGACGAACCCGTACAACGCGTAGTTCAGCAGACTCTCTCTGGCTGGAAGGAGGGAGCGAAGCATCCCGACCTGCTGGACTACTTCGCCTCTCGCGGAGAGATGAGCGTTCTGCACCTAACGTGTGGTACACTGCTGACGCACAGGCGACGCATCGTCATCCCTCCGAGTCTGCGAGATGAAGTGCTCACTCGACTACATGATGACGGACACTTCGGTCTAAATAAGTGTCGCCAGAGGGCAGCAGTATCGATCTGGTGGTCTCAACTCAGCATCGACCTGAAGCGTCATATCGAGAGCTGCTCGTTCTGTCAGGTGAACTCGCCCGCCCAGCACGCTGAGCCACTAGTGACAGCCCCAACGTCATCAAGACCGTGGACGCACGTTGCAGCAGACGTCTTCCACTTCAACGACTGCAACTGGCTCGTCACGGTGGACATCTTCAGCAGGTATCTGGAGATACAACGCCTCCCGAGTCTCACCAGCAGCGCAGTCATCGAGCGTCTGAAACGCTTGTTTTCCCGCTTGGGGATACCAGACCTCGTGACAACAGACGGAGGAACGCGGTTCACTTCAAGCTCGTTCGCCAACTTTACAGCGTCCTACGGCTTCACAAACCGTATCACAGACCCGCACACACCGTCTTCCAACGGAGCAGCTGAACGAGCCGTGAGAACCGCCAAGTGGATACCCACCAGAGGGACCCCCACCTCGCCCTCCTCAACTACCGCACGACGCCTGTGGAAGCAACCGGATACTCCCCTGCCCGCCTCCTGATGGGACGCGAACTTCAATCTCGTCTCCCCATCGCTCAGCCAACCGGAGAAGCGACATGGCAGCATGCCAAACTCCGAGATCGGCAGAGGAAGAAGCTGGAGACGTGCTTCGACCGGAGACGCGGTGCCCGCGATCTTCAGCAGCTACAGCCCGGGGATCATGTTCGGGTCAAGACGGAGAAGGAGGCGAGCTGGTCCGAGCCCGCCACCGTCATAGAGAAGCTCTCTAGACGCAGCTACCTTGTGGAGCTCAAGGGTGCTCGCTATCGTCGCAACCGACGTCATCTGATGCAGATCCCTCCGTTTCAGGTCTTGACACAGCACGGTTCCACGCGGCGTGCCGACCGCTCTGCACACAGGGTGCCCTCTCCAGACCTCCTCTCTGGCCGCCACGCTGAGGTGGCGCCACCGGCGCTGCTGCAACCGCAGCCGCGCGGGCCGGCGCCTGCACCACGATCAGTGGTGCCACGGCCACCACCAGCTGTGCCGTCGCCCGCGTCGACAGCGGCGCCGCCGCCGTCGCTGCCGCCGCTGACAGAAGCTGCGGCCCAGCCCTGCAACGCGCAAGTGCCCCAGACACAAAATCCAACGCCACTGCTCAGTTTCAGTCACGCAAAACACGCAGTGGCCGCGTTTTCTGAGAGGCATCAAAGAGAAGCAGCAGAGAAGAGCAGCAGAGAGCCAGGAAAGCAGATGGGAAGCAGCAGGAAAGCAGCAGAGAAGAAGCAGTCTGAGAAGCAGAAGGAAAGCAGCAGCCTGAGAAGCAGCAGAGCAGCAGCGGGGAAGCAGCAGGGAAGCAGCAGTCTGTCGCCAGTAACTTCGTTTCGCAAGCGTATCAACATTTATTTGCATTTGCTCAAGGGGGGGGGGGCATGTATCATGATGTTACTGGCGTGTGCCTGAGGCCGCCCCTGCTCGCGCTGCCAGTGCTGCTGCACCTTGGTACGCCGCTGCCCCGACTGGCGGTGTACTGCCTGGGGCGCCGCCCGCCGGGGTCGGCGCCGCCCGCTCGCCTCGCGGGTTAATACAGTTGCCGTCTCGCAGCGCTCGTGTCTGGTCTGGGCACACAGAACACGTAAGACTTAATACCCTCTATGGCTGGAATAGAGGGCAGAATTACCTCGGCATAAATTCTTACTGAATTTTATGGTCAGTAAACTGAAGAAACCATGTTTTAACGATTGCATGAAATCAATTGTCGGCGCTCTCCATTTTGCATTAGTCTGGCGGACTCTTTCTATGCCGATATATCTCAGAAGATTCGTTATAATTGTTATCTGGGTCCTACAGATATGTTACGGACCCCGTAACATATCCGTTACGTTACATAACATAACTGACCCCGCGACTGTAGCTTGCGTGGATCAAAATAAGTCAACATTTGTATCAACTTGACCAAGCCGTGTTCGTCTGGAATTCAGGCAGAATCGACCAGTGACACAAATTATGTACGTAGTTTTAAGCATGCGCGCTCGCGGTATACTAGCAAAAAACTCGCGCCAGTCGTTGCAGTCTCCGCATGCTGCATACCGTCGGCCCTGTGGTGATACTATCCGTGGTTAACGGGTGATCGAAAATGATGATGCGTCCGAGACAAGTACCTTTGAACACTTTAGAACATCAAATCGTACGTTTAGGAAGAAGTCCGGGTATAGATTTCGCCGGTGCTATTTTGAGATCTATCTTAATAACGGATTGGCATTTACAGTATCGCAAAATGGTGCTGGCTAGGGTCTGGTGATGGGACTGGGAGGGTAAAGGTAGAATCTCTATTTTTTTGCATTACTGTAGCTGCTCATTTGTACAAAGAACAACCTCGAAATTTCACAAAGGATACGCCCAGTCTTATCTTTGAACGGTGCGAATTCATTTGAAAGATATTTGGAGCCATTATTTCATGACCGTCGTTCTCGCGCGAGGCGCGTGGTGCTACTTGCAGTGGCCAATGCTATTTGGCTTTACGGAAGCTGCAACCCAAACCATCGTTGTCCTTGCTCCCGCGATTTTTAGCGCGCAGGCTCAAACGTTTTGATGTAACCTTCATCAAAAGGTTTGCAGACAACCGCATGCTCCCAGCGTACGGGACAGATCAGTACGAAACCTTAGCAGGGGTTTTGAGCCGGTTTGAAGCCGGCATAGTACGGGTTTGGGCCCATAGGCTCGGAGCATAGGGTTGTCTGCAAACTAATCTCAGGTGGTTTTGGCTGTTTTTGATGACCTTTTACATGACTCAAGGTTACCACGATCTAGGAATGGTATGAGATACCGACTATGATCCGCATCGATCGGCAGAAATTTCACGCTGATCGGTGCCATAAGCTCGGAGCTTTGGGTTGTCTGCAGCCAATTTGGGTGGCTTTGGGCATTTTTGGTGACCTTCGATCCGCCCTAAGGTCACCGTATTCTAGAAAGATTGGGATATTGATTATGACGCGTCGATTGACGAAGATTTCATGCTGATCGGTCATATGTGGTCAAAGCACGAAGATGTCTTCAAACTAATTTCATGTGGTTGTGGGCGTTTTTGGTGACCTTTGACCTGGCTGAAGGCCACCATCTTCTGAAAACACCGGGATGTCAGCTATGGCGCATCGATCGGTGAGGGTGTCATGGGGGACGGTGTGATAGGCTCGGGATATGGGATTGTCTGCGAACTATTTCAGGTGGCTTTGGGCGTTTTTAGTGGCCTTTGAGCTAACGTAAGGTCATGATGTCCTGGAAAGGGTAGCGTGTTGACTAATACACATCGGTTGGGGGAGGTTTCTTGCTTACGCGGCCCTACAGCATCGGAGCATGGGGTTGTCGAAGTACCTATTTTTCGGTTTTTCGTATTTTTGGTGATGTTTGACCTGACTCAAAGTCATCATATTTTGAAACGGTTACGTTATCGACTAATCGGCATCGAATGGGTAAGGTTTCATGTCGGTCGGTGCCATGGGGTTGGAGTATCGGGCTGTCAGCGGGTCTGGTTGACTGTTTAGTGCTCCCCTCCGGGCTCTTGCCTCGTGGAATCAGCGAATGAAAGCCGCGCAGGTTGACAAGGAGAAAGCGCTGGCTGCTGATAAACAAAAATACACATTGGTTGCGAGGGACTGGGTTTGATAAACCTGCGCGGTCTTGCACAGACTAGATTTGCACGGGTCTTCGCACATGCGCCTGGCCTGACACCAGCCCAGGGTGAAGGGTAAGTGGACAGAGTGACCATAGTTGCCTTCTTTCTTCACGTCGGCCAAATATCACTTTTGGATGTAGGAGGGTTGCTGCTTCAGACAGGATTTAAGAAACAGAGTTCACAGTGCACAGAATGCAGGGTTTAGGTATTTTTTATGAGTCACTTCTCAGGGCAAATATTACTAGTTTGCAAGGTCTAGTCTGCATAAGGTTCATCCACCGCTTATGTCCATGCACCCTGAAGTCCATCCTTTCCAAAGTCCATCAGCTCTTAAATCCATCCACTGCTTATGTCCATCCACTCCAAAGTCATCCAGTTATCAACTGCCTACTGTATTAATGTGAAGTATTCAGTGTTTTACAAATGGCTGCCAAGAGCTGCTATTTAATCTAGCTTGGCTGTCAATACTGGCAGTGAAAGCAAGGTGGTCATGCTGCATAGCACATGTATGTCACCAAGGTGATGCTCTTGATAAGCCACATTGTTGAACAGGCTTATTTGGCTTATGGTGCCACATAAGGATTGATAATTCTGTGTCTGAATGGGTTTCTTCCAGATCCACAGAGGAAAACTGATGGCAACAGGAGGGGAAGATCCTGCAAATGGGCAGGAAAGATCCACAGCCTTCAATTTCTCTGAGACTCCAACACTGGAAGACCTGTAAGTGCTGGACTGGAAATCATTTAAATCAAGCTGTTATTTTTTAATATTCCTTTGCTGTGAGAATTGGGTAAGGTTCTTGAAGCTGTCTATGGATTGCATTGGACACAAATTGTACATAAATGGTTTTGCTCAAATCCTGGATACAGCACTGAGGTGGTGTTGAGCAAAGCAGCAGTCTGGGTGGTCCTAGTTAAAGCCATCATAGAGTTTCAGCGGGATGGCCAGGCCCGGCCCGTACCTTGTCGAGCCTTAATAGGCTTCATCAGAAAGGACCATCTTAAAGCTGATGAATCATGTCCCCTGGTTGCAAGTACCATGTATGTTCACAACCACAAGTGGAATTATTGAATGTGTAATGGCATAAATTGTAGGACAATTGTACGCAAGCCTTTTAGTCAATTGTAGTTCAGTTGTAGCTATTTTATTTAAGGTAAATGCATTATGGCCTCTTGTATTTAGTCAATACTTAATATGGATTATTTGAAATTGTGTCCTGGAGTGGGCTTTGCTCTCAGAGTACCTGCTAAGCAAGTACTCAGATTTTTCCAGGCCTTTAGCTCCACCTAACCACAGAGGCATTTATATGTCATTCTGTGCTATAATATGACTCGCCCAGACCAGGTGTCACAGAGGCGAGTCTTTGCAAAATGGCATTCTGAGAAATGGCCACATGACTGCCCCTCACATCCCTCAAAATAGGCCCGACTCAAAAACCTGCCATGAGCACAGCTGGGACCAAGATTTTTGTCTGCAGAAAGAACTGACACTCCCAACATCAAAAGTCCAAGTAAATATGTAGAAGGGGTCACGTAAGTGCAGAGCTGTCTGGTTCCCACTGGGGGACCTGTGTCTAAACCTTGGCTGTGTCATGGCCCCTGAGTGCTTCTATGGTTACTGCAGTCACTGGCACTCCATAACAGTGAGGGTGACAGAATGTTGTGTAGGATTCTTTGGCAGTCTGGTCTCAACAGTCAGAGTAGGGTAAAAATTGAAATATGCCACCTAGTGTTGACAAATTTACCATTTACAAGTAAAGTGAGCCCAACACTGTCCCAGGCACAGATGGTGCCAGTGATTGACCAGGAGGCAGGCAGTGGGCACCCCTTTCAAAGAGGCCAGTATATCATGCTTCGGGCTAAGGCAGGAGCTTACATCATAGGGGGGTGGAGGTGGGCTTATGGTAGCCAGTGTATCTCCAGAGCCTTGTCATTTTGTTTAATGTATTCGCCACTGGCACAAGGAAGAAACTGTGGCAAGGCAGCAACCAAAATATTCATGCCTGGTTGGGGGTCACAGCCAGTCAATGTTCAAGTGATGTACTTCATGGATTAGTGCACACATGCCATACTGTTGAACCCACCTTGCCAATTAGGCTTTCAGAAAGATTAGCTATCAACCACATTGGTCAGGCTCAGTTACAGCAGTTCCATGGTGATAGGAGTTAAACAAGTCATTGATTTATACCAGAATAGTATCCAGACAGTGACAATGGCTCTTACATCCATTATGACTTCTGTGATCACATGCCGCCGATGGCGTGTTCGTAATTGAAGGTATGCTGCCTTTGTACTGTGTTTTCATCTGGTTTTTCCAGGATTGATGTCATCAGATGACATGGAGTTTAAATCATGAGAGCCTGTATTGCTTTGCTGCCCCTCAACTTGCATCTTCTGTCCCTGGTAAGCTGTTACTTACTATACCAACTCTCCCCCGCCTCCACTGGGATCGCAGGCGAGCGAGCATGAACCAGTTTGCCACTGAGCGTGATTGGAACCAGTACCACACACCAAGGAATCTGCTGCTGGCGATGGTTGGCGAAGTCGGAGAGCTCTCGGAAATATTGTAAGTCAAACGTCGTGGGCCTCTTCCGATGGCAGTAATCCACCACTGGACGTCAAAGATGTCACGCCACATCCTCCGGCCACGTGCCAGAGGTCATGGGTCCTCGGGTTACAGTCGGCTCACATGGGCTTAAGTGGGACTATGCTTGGACGCTGTGCGCTTTTTTCGTAAATGTTTCCAGAGATCGGCTGTATGTAAGGGGCGGGGGGGGGGGGGGGCACACGTATGGCGGGCATGGCGTCTTGGAAGTTTATTTCGATTGTTCTTCCTTCGTCAGCATTAGACGCGGTTGAGAGTAACGTTTGCTACATTAGTAAATGGTGACAGAGAAACGTACATGCCGCTGCGAGGGACTTAACAGAAGCTTTTACCGTGCTTGTCCAATAGATGACACTGGTTAGTGCTTGGGGCGTCCGGCTCGCTGGGCAGGCCGGCGGCCTGTGGCTGCACGTGCCACTCGTGCTGCTTTCGAAGTTCTCCTACGCCTCTGCATGTCAGTCTATGGCTGTGGGAAGTCGGGGTTCCACGTGACCCGAAGGGGGAATGCGGGCCCACACGCTCTGTACGCGGGCCCACGCGCTCTGTACGCATGAGGCACGGAGCTCGCTTGATGCACCGTGCGATGTGTCATTGAACACTGCACAGATGGCCCGTGCCTACCATGGGCTCGGCGAACCCGTGTAATAAACCCATCTCAGTGTGAGCCGACCGCACAGGGAGCGGGCCGCGTGTCTGTTGCGCATGCCTGGGATGCGCCAGCGCTCGAGCAGCAGTGACAGTGGCTGGTCGTCTGTCCAGTCTGTGGGCGTGTGTGATCTGTGGTGGGGGGGGGGGGGGGGGGGGGGGGTCAGTGCGCTGGGCCTCCCTCTCTTGACGAACTTGTGCACTCAAATGCAGTTCTGTTACCATATGCGCGAGCTCGTTTAAGCTAGAGAGCTTCTTAGAAGTATCATGATAGGAATCCTTACTGGAAACTCCCTAGAGGTTGAGGCGAGCGCTCTAGGCATTGCCCCTATGCGATCGTATATCGAAATAAATGACTTAGCCATATCAGTTTATGTAACATTTGCTTGAACTAACGTTGAGGTATTGCCATCGACATTTTGATTTAAAGAGGGAATTGGGGAACGAGGCACATCGTCCGGTAAGCGTGATGCCTCGCTGGTGTAATTATTTGTGTATGAAGAACCCGAGT